TCTCTTGCTAATACTGGGTAAAGATACGTTAACCCATACACACACACACACACACATATCAAGAGAGAGAGAGAGAGAGATAACAAAAAAAATGGAGGAGATTAGCCGAACTTTACCGGAGGATGTCAACTTTGGTCTGAAATAGTCGAAAATCCAGTCCAAAGACCATTGGTTTTGCCGATCGAGTTCGTCGTCTCGTTGCTGTTGTCTGAGAAGGGTGTGTTGATGCCCATGGAGAAGTGGGTTTTGTTTGCTGTTTTGAGAAGTGAGTTTTATTAGAATGTAACAAAGGGCAAAAAAGTAAAATAAATATTCAAAGGTCAAATTCTTTTGGTTTCTTCTCATTTTTCGTCCATCTTTGGGGGAAAATAAATTGTGGGTGGGAAGGAAACTCCTTTCCTCCAATTTTCCTTTTCATCACTCTTTCTTTTCATACCAAACAATGAAATGCTTTTCCATCCACCCCATTTTCCATCAAAACAAACAGACTATAAATTAATAAAATGCTTGTATACTTTTGGAGATGAAAGTTCAGTGTGTTGACAAAATGATTATTGACATAAATAAGTTGGTGGTTAGAGTGTGTGTCTTGAGTTAGTTACATGTGAGTTGACAAGTAAATCAAAGTTGTCTAAGTTATCAAACTCTTGACTAAATTCAACTTATTCATACTTAAATTTGAATTACACATAATACGAATTGCAAAATTGAGTTTAAATTAAGTTAAGATTGATTAAATTCAGGATTGATTCTTCGATTAGCAACTTGTGCTGAATTGGGGTGTGATTCAAATTAAGTAATTCGAGTTGATTAATAAAATTCAAGATCCTAAACTTAATACTATATGCAAATTATATTAGGTTTAATTTTAGCGTAAATAAACCCCTATATTATCAATTTTTTGTTCTAAGTACTAAATATTTTGAGTTTAAGCTCGTATTGTATTCAGATTGATCAATCAAAGCTTCTGATGCATTGCTTAAACAAATAAACGCCCATCATTTATCAAAGTTCAACTTTCCGAAATGAGTACTAAAAATAAAACTATTAAACATAAACTTTGATGGAAATAACATATTAGAATATATTGTGTATAAGCTCTTTTTGTCTTCTTTGTTGTTTTTTTGGCTAACAAAACCTGAAATTTACACCTAATGGACCATTAGTTGTTTGGATTTGGTAATAAATTCTATCACTTTGTTGTCGAGATTAGTTTTTGTTGGTGCCAAACAAATTTAAAGTCATCGAGAACTTTAAACTTTCATTTATTAACGGTTTGAAATTTTTGATATTTTTTATTGCATGTTGTCAAGTGTTTACATCTTTAAACGAGAGTAACGAGATTTATCATTTATGTCACCTAAATTTTGATTGAGATCACATTCATTACAAAAACTATGCTCTTTGCCTACCCTTCAAGTGGCCATTCGTCGGTCTTCTTTCTCATTATGATATTTTAGCAATTCCCTTTTTATATGACATGCTTCTTTGCATGAATATATATCACATTTTACGTGTTTGGGGTGTTCATGTACCTAACTCAATACTAGGGGGAAAGTTACAGTACTGTCAGTAATACGGTATTGAAAATTATAATTTTTTTGAGGTGTAAATGGAGGTGACAATATTAACTCATTACCCATTAATCCGCTCACAAATAAATGGGTTGAGTATCTATATTAATTAATATGGGTTCCAAATAGTTTGAGTAATATGATTCATTTTAATTAAACATGTTAATATGGATTATAAATAGGTACCCATTGAATTGAATAATTATCTTTTTATTAAATAACACAATAAATAAAATAAAATAAATATACTAATATACCAAAAAATACACACATTATTATACTAAAAAATATACACATATATACTAATACAGTAAATCATACACACACTAGCACATAAAAAACACACACACTAATACACCACCCATGACATGTGGGTTGACCCACAACCCATGCCATGACTCATGGGTCAACCCATGACCCACATACTAACCCATAGCCCACAATCGACCCCGACCCATTATGTGAGTATTTTTTTTATTAAATGTGTTTTATTTTTTGTGTTAGTCTATGTGTGTGTATTTTTTATGTATTAGTGTATATTTTAGTGTATTAATATGTATATTTTTAGTGTATTAGTTTGTATGTGTTTTGGTGTATTAGTGTGAGTATATGTTGTATTTTTGTGTACTACTAATATGTGTGTATTGGTATACTAATGTGTCTATTAAAAATTTTAATTATTTTATGAGTTAATGAGTTTAATTCAACTCGTTATTAACCCAATTCATTATAACTCATTTACTATGTGAGTGAAAAATAAATTGAATTTATTTTAACTCAACCCAATTTAACCTAATTCATAACCAACCTAATCCACTCATTTGTCACCTTTAGATGTAAGTTATAATTTGTAAAGAGCATAATCGATTATAAAAAATTACGATTGATATCGAAAGTTATAATTTTTAAAGTCAAGATTCAATTTTTAAAAATTAAGTTACAATTCATAATTGAGAAATTAGAACTATTCAAGAAAAGTCCGCGATTGATTATGATTTTTTATTAAACAGTTATAATTTCTCACTTCAAATATATAAGTTTATTATAAAAAATTATAATTTTTAAAATGGTGCCAATTTTTTTTTTTTGGTACGGTAGATTTTTCCCAAAAAATAGGGGTGAAAAAATGAAAAAGGTATTGTACTACATGAAAATGACAGGTTGGAATTAATGGTACGGCCAAACGAAACTTCAAGGAGCATGGGACTTGTAGCCCAACTAAATAAACGGCCCTATGGCTACCCTCTAGCAATAAAATTGGAATAAATAAATGTGATGTGATCTCTCATTAATCAAAGGTTGTAGTAGCCAAGAAATGGACATTTTTTTAATTATTTTTTTTTTTTGAGCAATCATTCTATTAAGCCTATGAATATCTAGTACTAACAACTCAGCTCAGTGGGTTCACCCCCTCGACTCAGCATGCCCACTTTTTAAGAAACTTAAATTAATAAAATCCTTGTATACTTTTGAAGATGAAAGTTCAGTGCGGTGATAAAATGATTATTCTCATGAATAAGGTGGTGGTTAGAGTGTGTATCTTGAGTTAGTTACGTGTGAGTTGACAAGTAAAATCAAAGTTGTCTAAATTATTAAACTCTTGACTAAATTCAACTTATTCATACTTAAAGTTTAATTACATATAATACGAATTACAAAATTGAGTTTAAATTAATTTAAAATTGACTAAATTTGGGATTGATTCTCCAACTAGTAGCTTGGGCTGAATTGGGGTGTAATTCGAGTTGATTAATAAAATTCAATATCCCAAGTTTAGTACTGTACGTAAATTATATTAGGTTTAATTTATAGCGTAAATAAACCCCAATATTATGAATTTTTTATTCTTAGTACTAATTATTTTGAGTTTAACCTCGTATTGTATTTAAATTGATCTATTCAAGCTCATGATGCATCGCTTACACAAATAAACACCCGTTATTTATCAAAGTTCAACTTTCCAAAAATGAGTACTAAAAATAAAACTATTAAACACAAACTTGATGGAAATAACATTTTAGAATGTTAGTTATCTTTAGACTTCTGATTAACTTTCCCATCTGTTTACAATAGAAAAACAATGTGCTTTTTCAAAAAAAAAAGTACTTACCGAAAAAGTTTAGAAAATCTTTCTTGTCTTTTTGCATGCTCGTATAGAACAAAACACAATTAGTCTTGGTTTGGATCAACTGCTAGAGTTCCGTGTCATAACCCGGTGGTAGAATCGTTTCTACTGCAGCACGTGACACTCGCCACAAACGTACAGCATGTTACTTGCACGTTCCATCAAACAAGTGTGGATCCATGCCAAAAACATAAAAATAAAAATAAAAAATAAAAAATAAAAAATTGGCAATAGCATACAAAATAAATATAAATTAAATTAATGTGATTGCTGGCTTTTAACAAAACAAACCTATTAAGCTAATATATTGCCAAAGAACATCTCCAATTTTAATTTACATTTTTTCTCAAATTTTAGTCGACGTTTGAGTAAAAACTTGGATTTAATATAAAAAATTTTAATGGACAAATTCAGATTTAAAGGAGAATAAATAAAATATGAGTATTAGGTCTTTAAAATGGAATAAAATTTGACCATTAATTAATGGAGTAAAAGTTTGAGTTTTTTTTATTTGAAGAAGATTTTTAAGAGTTTTTTTTATTTACATTTAAATTTTAATTTAAAAAATAATAAGAATTGGAAATACTCTAATAATTTTTTATTTTTTAAATAAACAATTCTTTTACCCGACTATGTTAGTATAAAATTTAAATAGATTTTTAATTATTAAGGACTACGGAGAATGATTTTTAATTTTTTACTTGACAATAAAAATTGAGTTAGTATTAAGACAATCGAATTAAATAAATAAAATTATAATTCTCAAAAATTTGACATGAATTTTGAATTGGGTTTATAATTATATAAAATTTATAAATTCAGACGTCTTATATTTAAATTTTGATAATTTCTTTGAATCGGAGTACGAGAGATTTTAGATGTCCTGTTTTTGACCAGATTAAAAAAAAATTAATTAAATTATGCATAAATTAACCCGGACATTTTGATCATTTGATCAAAAAATAAAAATAAAAATTTGTACAACAGCTTTGCCATTTGCCCACCGTCCATCATTCCATTTCCATGTGTCCATCACATGAACCTCCGTCTTCCCACCCGTCACCGTTCTCTCTCCTCTATCTATCTGTCTCTCGGAAAAATATTCACTCTCGATTTTCTCTCTCCAGATTCCTCTTTCTCACCGATAACTCAATTGTTGGCCACCTGTAGAAATCCCTCCATCGTCATTTCCAATGCTTCCTCTTCTTCCATAAAATCCCCACGCCCAATTTTCCATTCTCTCAATTTCCATTTCCTCCAATTCCTCTCCATTTTACTTTCTGCAATTCTCGGCCACAACAATGAAGTTCAAGCACTCTCCGAACTCGCCTTCTCAAACCCTAACCGCCACGACCTCTCAGGATGCCAGGCTTCTCGTGCGCGAGACGCTCCGAATCAGCGCCAACCTCGCCTCCGCTCCGCCGTCGGCGTCGTCCTTGGTTGCTGCGGAGAGTATTGGATTGAGGCCGCGTGAGGCAAATTTGGGACTGGTTGAGGAACAATTCGTTGATTCGAGCTTGAGATTGATTTGCTGCGAAGAGATCGATGGACGAAAATGGAATTACTTTGCCGAGAAGGATAATTTTAAGCAATTCAAGAAGAGTTCGATCCGTGCTGTTGGCTTGCAGACTCACCAAGCCCCTGTAGATGTCCGTTTTCCCTTCTTTCTCTCTTCCTCTCTCTCTCTCTCTCTCTCTATATATATATATATATATCGATAGATAGGCACGCACAGTTTTGTGTAGGTTATGTAACTATAATAGTTTGCTATATATTATTTGACCTTGAATCCGTGTTCGTGTATAGGATATTGAATAAGTTGTGTGTAAGTTGGGCGTAATTTGTGTTCATTATGTGGTGCAGGAATTGATGTCATTCATAAGATCCTATGTAGTGCCAGAAGGTTTTCCTGATAGTGTTTCACCATCTTATGTACCGTACATGTCATGGAGAGCTTTGAAGGTATTTAATAGCAATTTATGTTATAAATGCTGTAATTTAGACTGATAAAATCAATAAACCGTTTTTACCCTTTAGTATCTTGCTTTTGTTGAATTTCATTAATATGGATTATTAATGGATTGTAGCATTTTTTCGGTGGAGCAATGGGTGTTTTCACAACACAAACGCTTTTGAGTTCAGTTGGAGTCTCGAGAAATCGAGCTGCTCCTGGGGCTGTAGCTATCAACTGGATTCTCAAGGTATGCATTGTTTTTTTTACCAGCGTGGCATTAGAAAGTTCCTCATCAGCATTCACTTTTTGAAGTTTTGACTAGTATCCAATGATGATAATTATGCGATTTCTAGTACAAGTTCTGGTAATTTTAGCTGCCAATCTGGAAACAATCTGGTGATGGAAGATACCTTCAGTTGGATGAAACAATAAAATAAGCTTTGTGATGTGATCCTATTGTCTCTTCTTGCTCTGTCTTTTTGATGTGACATATTCTTATTTCTTCCTACTCTACTCTTGATGCCTATATGTAACATTTTTAGTCATGGGTATTTGTCAATTCCAAAATGTTGGGAACTGAACTCGGTCATTTATATTATAAGTTAGATAAAATTATCAGGAAAACAGTCTAGGTTAGATACAAACTTTGGGTGGTTGCAGTGTTTATTGCTCCCTTTCTTTTTAAGTTTATTTATTTAACAGGATTTTGGATAAAATTGAATCATTGGGCTTTAGGTTGGGACTTAGGAGTCTAAAAATGAGGAAAAATAATGAAATGAGTGCCTAAAGCTAAATAGACATGAGAAACAGTGTTAAATAATCACTAGTGTCTTAGCTGTTATACTGTCTCCCCCCTTTTAACAATCTAAAATGTAGTGAGAAGGAAACCTCTATGAAAAGTAGTTCTTGAAATCACTCATCGACTTCATTACATTATTGGTCCCTCCATTGGTTTCTCTCGTAAACTTTCTATCTCTCCATTGGCTTCTCTCATAAACTTTCTAAAAGAATAACATATTCAACATTTTTCTTCCAATGGAGGTAGACTTCGAGATATTTCAAAGCAACTTTTTATCAGGCTTAGGCCACAGGCGTTCTACTGAACCTATGAAGATTTGAGTGTGATTGTTTCCATGTTTTGAAAAATGAAAATTTTAGCAAAGATTACCTAAATTTGTTCATGATTAAATACTTTTAATGGTGTGTCCACAGCCAGAAAGTTATGGCAATGAGTTCTGATTAAATGTTTTGGTGCCTTATTGTACTTCTTCATGCATTTCACTTTCCATCTCTTTCAGGTTTTGAATCTGATGTACTAGAAGTATTCTATATGTTATATGTTTTTTGTGTAGGATGGTGCTGGTCGGGTTGGTAAGATGCTTTTCGCTCGGCAGGGGAAGAAATTTGATTATGATCTAAAACAGGTGAGATTAGTCTCAAATGCAGTGCACTTTCGTATTCTATTTTTACTGACCAATTCTTTGTTTTCTGAAACTCTCGTCTTGATAATTGTCATGCCTTTCATCAGCTTCGGATCACGGGTGATCTGCTAATGGAGTTGGGTGCTGGTGTAGAACTGGTAACTGCGGCAGTTCCACACCTTTTCCTGCCTTTAGCCTGTGCTGCCAATGTGGCCAAGGTTTGATTTTCATTCCTTTTTTATTTCATTCTGTAGTAGATGTGTTATGAATTCGTTCTGTAGATTTACTTTTATCTGCATTTACTTGTAGAATGTTGCTGCTGTCACATCAACATCAACTCGCACTCCCATATACAAAGCCTTCGCTAAAGGAGAAAACATTGGCGATGTCACTGCTAAAGGGGAATGTGTTGGAAATGTTGCAGATCTGGTATGCTTATCCAAAGTACTCTATAGTTTTTAGAAGCCGGTGTTTGCACTTGCCACATTGAGAGCATCGTTTACAAACAATTTGACCTTTACATACCTTCATGGGGTATGCATCCTATAAGTCAAATTTATGACCTTATGACCTTACTAGCGATGTATCTGCACGACACTGATTTATGCCCCCACACTGTTTGAGCATCTCCTCCCTGCCCCTTGCCCAATCCTTCTATTTTGTTTAGCAGTGTTAATAGAGAGAAGAGAAGATGAAGATGAGTAATTAAAAGAGAAAAGTGAGTTGGAATCAAAAACAATTGAGAAGTTGGAGGTAGCAAAGGAGTGTTTATGTATAATATGCCAAAACTTTGATTGGGGAACTTAATTTTTAATTTAATAAATAAACAGAAGAGAATAATGCACTTAGAGAAAAATAGGATAATAAGTAATTGGGTAGGAAAGGCTTTCCGAGCCCTCTCTCCCATACTTTGACCGCCATCTGTTAACTAGTGGCAAACTTGTGCGATGAACGTAATTTTTACATCCCCCACCTCTACCAGCATATCCACTTGGTTCCCTTCCTCAAACCATTAATCTTCTAGTCGGGTTAGAGAAAATAAGAAGCTAGGAGGGAGTCAAAGGTTAAAGGAGGTGGGAAGGGGGAGGTAAGTTATATGTGCAAGTGGAATAATTTAATTGGAGGGAACCTTGGTTTTAATTGAATAATTAAAAAAAATATAGAATTATGCTTTAGAAGGAAGCTCCCACATCCTCCTCCCCACAGCTTTGATTGTTCCATATATATTTATAGAT